TCCTTACATTCAATTCGTTGGTGTTTCCTCTGAGCTGCGTTCCTGAATTCTGTCAGGATCGTTTAGTATAAATGTCACAAGCCTCGTATACATTTCAGAATTGATTTAGAATTTCGCTCGACAGATTTAAATCTAGTTCAGCAAACGTATTTGCCAGATTAACGATGCAACGAAGTTCTACAACGAAATCCATAACGGTAAGGATTTTCGGAAGCTGAGTTAAAACTCTTTTTCTTCAGCGTCCGTTGATTGTCACTAGCGATCATGGAACTGGTTGAAGGCGACAGGAGAAGGAATTATCAATATCAGTCAACACGTTTTAGTTCTATGTCATTGTTACGAGATCACCAAGAGTCTTCTTTTGTATTACAATATCTTTTGATGCGCCATAGACTATCATTTTGATCTATGTCTTAATATTCTGAAAATCACTCCATGATGAAGTATGGATGAGATCAAAGACAGATGCATGATACCAAGCACAAAGTGAATCAAACAAATCGTTGCCTTTTTTTTACGTTTTTCTATAATCATTTCACCCCAAAGATGGTTATAAAGCCACTAAGTCGCAAAGGGGTTACTAAGAGTGAACTTACTAAAGACCTTGTATAAATGGATAGTAAAAAAGACTTTAAGAGAGATAGCAAATAGATAACATTTACTAAGAGCTACAAAGGATAGGAAATTGTGAAGAGCCGTGATCGTCAATGTCCTGAATGTAAACGGAACGAACGAACAATCTTAATTCCTCTGGATTATAACTGATATTAAGTGATTGCATATCATTGTACTACACCAAATCACCTTCCATAAGGAATAATGGGATTAGATTCTTGTGACGATCACGGAAATGGGAAATCCGTACATCACCATCTTCTACTGCTGTAACCTAGCAGTTCTGCTTCACCCTTATGAAGTTCCAAATCTCTATGTCTTTTAGACCATTTTGAGTTATGACGTGTCATTCAGAGACATATTGTCATATGAAGTTCAGACTCGGAGGTTTCGTCCTCTTCCCTATCATCTAGCTGAAGTTCATACCATTCCGGTCATTCTGGGACTGGTATGTCTTCATTATGGTGGAAAGGACGCAAAACATGTTTGGCTATTGCACTGACCACTTCTTTTACTCTTTGGCCCAACCTTACGAATTGGAGGCACCATGCAGAAGTAAATTCATTAAAATGACCAGTTACCTTTCTCAAAATCATGGGCACTACAAAAGGCATAATTTTTTCTACTTGGCTAGCCATTGACTGAGATTTGTTGCACAGGTATTATAGCATATGTCTGGTGTCAACTTCTCTTTTTTGTCTCAAATTTTGCGCCAAAAATGTAGTTGGTAAGCCTTTCTCACAACAGCTGTTTTATTTGGGTTTTTTTTTTTAGATGCAAACATTACTTCGCTATACGCATAGCAGAGATTATCAGCTTTGCTCAGACATTTACAGGGCATTTTTCACAGATCAGCTAAATGTGTGAAAACTGGCGTGGAAAAGAATAATAATTAGTTTATTAGGAGGATAATTGTATATAATAAGGTTATTGGAATAACAATAAATTTGACAAGGACAACAATGTTAATGAAATATAACACTAGTACTGTATCTTGAAATCTAGAGCCAATAATTCTACATATGATTTTGTATTTCCAGTGCCTCCCACTACAAAAAAAACAAATTAAGCTAAGATGGGATATTCTTTGTTTTTGAAGCTTTCATGTTGTAGAGCAGTGTATTTAAATTGTTGTATTTGGTTGATTTTGGCATCTCCAAATTGTAATTTGCATGTTGGGCAGTTCCTTTTGCTAACAACCATACATTCTGTCTTTTTGTAATTAATCTTTAATCTTTTATTCTAGCTTTCTGTTGTGGATTCCGGGATGAAATCCGGTACCAATAAATAACAAACGCCAAGAAGGAATATAGGAAAATAAATGTATTAACGTAATAATACAAACTGGTAATGCGGGTTAGTAGTTCCAGGAATACGGGTTAGTAGCAAAATATCTATACAGTCTTTGGTATTGAAGTATCGCTGTATGACTTATATAGAGTGACTGTGACTCTTGCTGGCTACGTTCGTTCTGTCTGTCTGTTACCTTCACCTTCTGTCGGTTACCTACAACACTGTTACCTCACCCTCACTCTTCCGGTTACCTACCACCTTTCACACTCGGGTATTCACGTAGCAATAGTATATGTATATAATGGGTGAGTCCAATTGTATGAAAAGGGTTTTGACCCCTCAACATTTTCCTTCACTATCTTCTGTAGCGGTTCTTATAGTTAACCTTTCTATGTCTGCTATAAACACTGTGTCATTTGAATATCTTATGTTGTTAATATTGTGGCTCCCAAAAATGAATCCTGGGATAGTAAACTTAAATATCGAGGATTCTGTCACAGAAATGGAATTGAGGAACAAAATTGGAACAATCTATTCAGTCAAAGACTCCTACCAGCATTTCCCGTTTTCTAACTTGACACTGTTTTATATTCGCATTGATGCTGGAATTTACGAGACATATACGAGACCGTACTGGGTATGACGATAAACTACGTCCAGCAGCAAGGCTTCTAATTAGAAGGTTTTGAGAAGCATGGAACCACCTCTTAATTGCTGATGTTCTCAGGTCCGCCCTGACCCGAGGTGGTAGCACCTGTTAGGGCCCCAGTTATGGGCAAATAGTTAACCACGAAACTGGGGTAAAAACACTATGAAAATGTAAAATAGGTTTTAATACCAGAAATACTTTGTAAAAAATTATTACCAGCAATAAATTTTTGAAGAAAGAAAAACTATTACAAATATTACTATTTGAAAAAAAATATTACCAGCAATAATTCTTTTAAAAAAATTATTACCAGCAATACATTTTTGAAGGAAAAATATTACCAGTAATAGATTTTTGACAAAACACAATATTACCAGCAATAAAAATTTTGTCGGCATTAAATAACCCATTGAGATTGATATGCCGTAAAATATAATAAATTAATCCAATCTAAACCAAAGAATTCATACGAATCTATCTTAAAAATTTTGTCGGCATTAAATAACCCATTGAGGTTGATATGCCGTAAAACGAAACAAACCAAACCAAACCAAACATATACGAGACTAAAATATTACTTACCTGGCAAAATTCCACCAAAATACTAATTTCCTTTCCATCCTCGATTGATTCTTATCTAATATCTCTATACAAATGAGTATAAAAAATTCATGTTAAAAGCTAAAAATTTATGGCGATAACTTTACAAAGAAGTTTGCAAATTTCTCTTCTTTGAACAAAACATCCCAAAAGTAGTCAATATATCTGAAATCTGGAGGGTTTGGCAGCCAGATCAGCTCATTGAATTCTCCTTCGTATTTCCTAATCCATTATGCTAGAAATCGGGAATTGTGTCAAAGTGCACTGACCTGCTGAAATATGCGTCAGTCACCATAGAAGACAACTGCCATAAAGAATTGTTTCTTCGACCATCTTCCAAAATGCTATCTCATCTTTTAAAAGGAAATATAAATATAAACATTTCCAGAGTTGCACGTTTCTGCGAGTGAGAGAAATAACAGAAGAATTTTCTTTTTGCTTTAACATTGCTGTTGCCAAGAGATCATTTTAGATAATCAAGTTCGTTTACTAAAAGATCAAGTTGTTCAAGCTGCCATTAATTTGAACACACGACAAATGCCATTTCTTGACTATTATTTTTTTCTTTATATTTCTGAGATGAGGTATTGGAATTATTTGCACTATTTACATTGTTCGGGATGTTATCATTATTGCCATATTCACGACTTTTCGGTCATTTTACGCTCCGGCCTTCTTCAGTTGATGTTTCTTGGAATTTAGAACCGAACTCTTTATTTAGTTCACGGAGGTAGCTTGTTCATCTGAAGAAGGTTGGAGCGTACAACGGACTAAACGTCATGAATATAGCAATGAAGATGCGGAAAAATTCCAAACAATGTAAATAGTGTGTTATTTTTCTTAAATCAATATGTAACACGTTTTTGTGTTAGTTTCTTCAATAGTACACGGGGGTAGATTGTTCAACTGAAGAAGGCCGAAATATCGTTAATATAGCTATAAAGATGAGGAAAACAGTCCAAACAATGTAAATAGTGCGTTATTTTTTCGTAATGCAAAATGTAACACGTTTTTTGTGTTAGTTTCTTTATCGACGCTATTCAATTCAAGAATCCTACAACATATTCTCTATTTATTTTCACACAATCTTTTCCTGCAATGTAGACGAGGCGGTCTCCAATTTAAGAGAAATCTTTCGCCTAAATTTATTCTATCGGTTGGAAGAAACGCTGCTTGTTTTCCATGTTATTCATGAAGCTCGTCTATATATTTGGTATCCTTACATTCTAACTCTATTTCAGAAATTCTTCGGAGTTTCCCCTGATCTGTAATTTATGGCTAAAATATGAATTTATATTGTTTCGAAAGCGGGAATATAAACGGATATTAAGAAGTTCCTGAGATCGACACCACTGTTTTTTTTGTTTTCTGTGATCAGCCAGTCTTGTCTCTTCAGGTAATGTGCTGAATGTGAAATTCTGGTGCAATATCTAAAAAAGAACTCATCTCAAAAATGTGTAAATATGACTGAATAAAAAAAAAATCTTGTAAAATAGGACGTCAAAATAGACAGATATTTTTGCCCCTAACGCCAATAAATATGCATACATCTTGTCATTTCACAGTAATGTTCAGTTCAACTTTGCAAATAAAGTGCTTTTAAACATACGAAGGAATACGGAAAAGTTTCCAACCCGACTCCCTCCAAATCAGTATTTCAGTCACCAAATAGAACAGTGTTTGTTGGCTTCATCAATCATCTTCTTCGATACTTCTGTCGCCACGCCCAATCTGAAAAGGAACCAAATTCAGTTCATACGAACCACCGACAGTCCTTTATTGTCCCAATACAGAATGAAGGAATACGGAAAACTCAAAATTGATTTTACAGACTCTCGATTCCAAAACCGGTTCCCGTATGATCACCGGAGTTAAGCAACGTCGAGCATGGTAAGTACCTTGTTGGGTGACCACGTGGGAATAACAGATTGGCTAAGCTTGTGTGTACAGGCGGCATAATGGATAACGGATCGGAATTGTGGATCGGAGAGCCGAGATTCAATTTCAGATTGCTTCCTTATAATCACTTATGTGTCGATACCCTTGGGAAAGGTATGAATCGACATTTTTCTCCTTCCAAATATGGGTTAATTAGTAAGACTTGTACCATTAAACCATTATTATCCCCACAAAAGAAGAAGATCTCACAAATTTTTGTGATCTCAACGAACACTCACTGCCTCTTTTGTAATGTCAACGAATACTCGTTGTCACTTTCGTAATGCTCGTTGTAGTAGAGACTTTGTAATCCCAGATACAACTATAGTAACGCCGTTCAACAATGCTGGTGTCAAACGCCTTCGAATATCACTCGTACTAATAGTACGCTCGAAAAGTGACCACCGAATAGTGATCCGAATAGTAATCCTTATAGTGATTAGTATAGAGAATAGCGTAGAGAAGGGAATCGCGAACCGTATAGTAATAGAGGATAGAACAGAAATGATGATCGTTTAAACATCACGCTAATACCCATATATACATTTCCTTTGCCATCATGTGATCTAATTATTTCAAATGGGATCGCCTGTGTTTGCTCCCTGGTGATCTGTGTTCAAACCCAAGCGTCGGCAGCGACATTTTATTTCTATATAACAAATTCAAAAATATTTTCTGGCTTTAAATAACCTGCAAAGATTTGTTAAGCCGCAAAAAAGAATAAATCAATCAAACTCGTTTTTCAAAATATTACATAACAAATATATATATATATATATATATATATATGTGTGTGTGTGTGTGTGTATGTGTGTGTGTGTGTATGCACATGCATGATCACACGTTTCTTTGTATATGATGGAAAAGGAAGACTTTTGTAAGATTTTAATTCAGTTTTCAGTAAATCACCACAGAGACAAAAACACAACGTTTATCAATTGACCATGTTTCCCTCTTATCAATTTTTTTCAGTCTCTGTCGAAGCTTTAATAAAACCGAAACATGTTAGACAAATAAACGTTTCCTATTTGTTCTTTATTTTATCTCTATCTATAAAAGGCAGGATGTGCGTGTGTGTGCGTGTAACGAATGCACGGCCGCAATTTTCGACGGATATGCACCAAAATTTACATGCACATGCTCCAAGTTAGCGAGAAGGCCAAAACCAACTTTGCATTTCCCAACTCCCATCGATAGTGGAAATAATCGATTTTTTCATGCTTCTACGGCAGTTTTCCTGTAGTTTGTGGCCATTTTCTACTGGCCAGAGTGAGAGCCTATAACTGGTTGCCACGAATAGGCAGGAAGATTCTCTTGGCCAGCGTGAGAGCCAACAGCTGACTGACACGAATGTTAACTAGCATGCTAGCATGCAAAAAAAAAAAATCGATAGCTGCATTCGTTACAATTGGGAAAAATTTAAATTTGCATACCACTTTACTCCAATTGGCTCATTCGCTTGCTTAAACTCAACGTTGATTCTGATTCCGCAGAACTGGGTTTGGTGTGAAAAAGTAATTGTTGTTAACATTCTTTTTTCATTCGGTTTTTCCAGTTACGAGTCCTTTTTTTTAAAGCTGATCGTTTTGTGTTCATTTTGTTTAGTTCTTTTTTCGTAACAGATTTAATGTTTAGTATAGAGCTTAGAAAAAATTCGCAGTGTGAGATAGGCAAGAAGTAAGGCATGTAGCAACATTAGCACGGCAAAGGGCACTCCTTTAAAGGCAAGGAAGAGCAAAAATATTTTAAGTCAAGTGATATCAACTGCTGTATGAGTCGTACTATTTTTGAATCAAGCACGAGCAACGACGGACCATGCTGCTAGTCATATATATATATATATATATATATATATATATATATATATATATATTAACAAATATTTACTGTACTGGCTATTTATTTTCTTTTGTTTGTTTTATTTTGATTTGTCATAACTTAACATAAGTTATTTTATCTGTACACACACACACACACACACATATATATATATATATATTGTATATTGTATGTTATTTATTCATTTATGTACACAGTGTGCAGAGAAATATTTGGAAAGAATTAAAATTTTAAGAAAGGATGCCATGTATTTTGAAATTGCAGGGTGTATATGTGAAATATTATGTACGTTTCACTGCTTAGGGGGTCGTTCTTCTTCGTCAAGTCGAGAACTTTTCCATATCCTCTCGTATATATTCCTCTGGCGGAGAAGGCTCATATCAAATTTTGGACAGAGTTGCTGAGAAATTATAAAGCTATCCGAAGTTAAAAAACAAGATACGTATCACTCCTTATCGAATAAAACCTGAGAAATGTCTTATGAGTTCATGACATCGTATCCATAACTGACGCAACCCTGACAATCATTCAGAGGTGCTTCATATGAAGCCCCGAATAAATATATACACAGAGTAAAATTCATACATTTCATTCAATATTCTTATTGACAACTGCTTGAGTGTTAAGACTATTGGGGAAATGGGATAAATTTGCATCATATGATCTTTCCTCAAGGGACGTAAAGAGAAATATGATTGAACGTTGGAAATGAAATCGTTTAAGAGCTGAACTTCATTAGAAAAAAAGAGATTAAAATAGCAACCAAAGGAATGGAAAAGACATCTTAGAGGAGGCACGGTGGAGTAATGGATAGCGACTCGGATTGAAGAATCGGTAGAGCCGAGTTCGAATTCCAGTCGAATCCACAACATTCACTTACGTGCTAATACACTTGGGAAAGGTATGAATCGTTTTCTTCTCAACCCAGCTATAGGTAACTCGCAGGACAGACCGAGTTCTTGGATGGCAACTGGTCCATTGCAGAAAGAAATGGCTGCGGACAAAATCTTCCTCTGAGTGTGAATTCATACCTTTCCCAAGGGTATCGACACATAAGTGATTATAAGGAAGCAATCTGAAATTGAATCTCGGCTCTCCGATCCGTTATCCATTATGCCGCCTGTACACACAAGCTTAGCCAATCTGTTATTCCCACGTGGTCACCCAACAAGGTACTTACCATGCTCGACGTTGCTTAACTCCGGTGATCATACGGGAACCGGTTTTGGAATCGAGAGTCTGTAAAATCAATTTTGAGTTTTCTGTATTCCTTCATTCTGTATTGGGACAATAAAGGACTGTCGGTGGTTCGTATGAACTGAATTTGGTTCCTTTTCAGATTGGGCGTGGCGACAGCAGTATCGAAGAAGATGATTGATGAAAGATACATGATGGTCTGAGTGTATCACGCAGAACTGACTGATCTTCTTTTTCGTGTACTTCTAGGATGTGGTGAATCATGGTTCTTTATAATTTCATATTTCTTTAGAACTCTTAGTAATGAATGTCCTTTTACTATTGCTCTCTCTTCTACCATCCATTTGCTCAAGCTTATTAATTAGCTTAGATTATTATAATTTAAAATGATATCGAAGGTTGAAGCCTTTATTCTAATAATTACGGATTTTCCAACAATATGCCGTACGTGTATGGTAAAATTACGAATATAAAATGAACAAAAATGCATATCGTCTATTTATCCTTGTTTCTCAGGAGACCCTAGCGACCACTTGCGGAACCCTGGGGTTCCGGGAAACATTGTTTGAGGATCAATGATCTAGAGTCTTAAAACTAATGTTCTTTCGTACTGGCTACTGATGCCCCTCCTGTAGCAACATTCACCACTCCTTCTTTTATCTTACTGCTGCTGCTACACCTTTGCTGTCATTTCACTTTCTTTGTGTTTCTTTGGATGACGTTTTCAAGAACAAAATCCACGAAAAATGATTAGTAATTTATTTTCATTGATAATTTCCTGTTTTCGATCCTTCTTTATTTTATCTCGTATTAAAGAAGATTGTGTCCGACAAATATTTACACAGTCACGTGACATTGTTCATGATGGTGTAATTAAAGTCTAATTTCAGGTGTTCCCGTACCATTAAAAGCCAGTTGCTTATGCTCCACGCCGCGATGTCTGTTCATCGTTACAGAAAATTAATCAAACCATAGATGAGACGTTCTCATTAGGTCCACTATAAAACTTAATTAATTTGCATATAATCAGTGTACAGACTGTGAGCCTCGTGTAACGGATATAGACAGGAAAAGTGGAACTAAGAGCCGTCTTCTATTTCCAGAAGATTCTGTTGTTGTCGAAAAGGCACGAACTCGTCTTTTATTCTTATGAGCAGGGTAGACTGGGCTCTCTACGCTGAGTGAGTCAGTAACACAATCTAGGCGAATGAAAGTTTGAATTCCCGAGTGTGAAGAATCCTGATTGCCTACATCTCGAACAGAGATGACATTGATTGATTGAGTATTTGTTTTCGGCAGGCGGCTAATAATTCCGTTGTTTTCAAAATGGCATGAAGGCGTCTTTTCTTCGCTAGGCGGCTAACAAATACCGTTTAATCGTAGCCGTTTGAGAAAGACGAGTATATGAGGTGCTACCAAATCGTTTGGATAAATCTAGGCGGCAAGTAATAGAAAATAAGTTCTTTATTTCCTGACGCAGGGATTTCTATGCTTCTCTGAAATGTTCATTGATATAATAATTTTTCAATTTTTCTTCCTGACAGGACATCAATTATATGTATGGGTGGAGGGGGATGCTAAATAAGATGCTAAAAGGCGGGGGGGCGTTCTAATCAAATATTAAGTTTTAAAAATTACTGAGTACACCGATATCAAGGATAGAGCGTATGGAACTATAAAATATAAAAATGGACATTGAGATCAACAAAGAGCAGCAACGTAATCTTAAGGCCATCAACCCCTGATACTTTTACCATTAAATAAATAATATAGTACACCTTAAAACTATATTTTTATAACACACACAAACACACACACACACACACACATATATATATATATATATATATATATATATATATATATATATATATATATATATATATATATAGAAATATTTTTAATGTAATGTATGGTATGCGGTATTTATTGCATACTAAACTGCGTACAAAC